ATCTGTTGATAAAATGGTAGGTTAGGCCCCAGCTACTAGCATTGAGTCAGCAGAATTGTAAAGTATTAAATGTTAGGCCCCAGCTACTAGCATTGAGTCAGCAGAATTGTAAAGTATTAAATGTTAAGTGTTTCTTTATACCAAAAGGTATGTAGATGATTGTAAAGTTATTAGGTTATCTGCCACTAAGCCAACTTTCCATTCACTTCTTAATTTCCACCAATTTTGTAAGAACCATACTTTCTAATTTACATTTTTATAGCATATTAATTAAAAAAGTACCATCCTGAAAGTCCAGGTACAGAACATCAGGTAGATCACTCCCATTTAAAATGGTAGAAATTCAATCAAGTTGGCTATTTATGAAAACTATGGTGATTATTGTTTGTTAAATGCCTACTTAATTTTGTAAAACATTTTTCAAATATAAAATAGAATCTGATTCCTTGTTAATAACAAAATTCAAACTAATTTAGACCAGAATTTCTTAATGATGATACAATACACTCACAAATAATTTTTAAACCTCACTTTAGGAAAATGGAATTACTCAGTCAGTCTCTCCAAAGTTAAATTCTCCTAAAATAGTATGACCATTTCCATAATAAGAATGTTGCAACAGAATTTTTTGAGTTAGGATGCAATACCTAATAACTTTTAGATGTTCCTCATACTAACTTCGAGACACAAGCACAAGTTTACTAAGTGCTTGAATAATTTAAGAACATTAATGTCATTATATACTACAACACTTGAAACTTACCTATGTAATGGTGATTCAAATGTATGCATGAAACTGCAAATGAGCATCTCAAGTTACCAAAATTTCATCAACCTTGTACCTATACTTTTAAAGAAGGTTGACTTACTAGGCAGTTTAACAAAATTTAAAAAAAAATCAAGAAAGATCTTTTTCTTTGGTAGCTTTGCTAATCTGCTTATGCTTATTCCTATCTGAGGTATCATAGTATGGATAACAGATTTAACAGAGATGAAAATCTACTCTAGCATGAATTAAGAAGAGGAACTTGGCATATTCATAGATAATTCATTCAAACCATTAAGGAAGTGATCTATTGCTAGAAGTAAAGTTAATAAAATTTAAGATGTATTTATAAATATATTAATTACAGTCAAACCAAGTAATTATATATACAAATCACTTTCTAAGCCTCACTTGGAATACTGTATACAGTTTTGATCTCTCTATTTGAGAAATATTACAGTTGTTTGATTTTAAAAGGGGAATCAGGAATTTCATTGGTTAATTTTTTTTATTTTCTTAAAAGTGGATAAGCAAGGACACCTTTGTTATCCATATCTTATATGGATTAAGTAATCAGTCAGAAGAACTGTAGAAAAATGACAATTAGCAATTTTTTCCTTCTCTATTAGCCCAAACAGATTCACATTTTTGCCAACCTCTCAATATCAATTATTGTATAATCTTTCACAGTAAAACCAAAATATATAGAAAAAGTTTAGAAGTCAAACTAACGAAACAAAACATACGAGATAAACCTTTACACAAGCTTATTGCTAACTTAGAAAATACTTAAACTCCTAATATTAGAATAATAACTAATATTCTTCAGTCTACAATGTTTATCTTTAAATCTAGGCCTCGTCCAGACTTTAATTCCATTATCCCTAAGGATCTACTTTGTATTTCTAACCTTATTTCATCCCTTAAGCAGGAAACTCTTAAGACGTTTGTCCAAATCTCTAACAATGTTGAATACTTCTTGAGTGATCCAGTTCTTCATTATCATAGAAAAGTAGTTCAAAACTTTGAAAATGATTTAAATCTGGTATTCTATATTTAGTAGTTCATCTTAACATATTTTTTCAATTTGTGTTAATATCCTTCTTGTAGTAAGATTGCAGTTAGTGCATTGCAGCATTTGATACACCAAATTAGACCTTACCAGAGTTTTGTGCTGTAATATACCAAAATAATCTTGCTCTTTCTTGTATTCAAACTTCCTATAAGTAAAACCAATAACTGTTACTTTTTGCCACATCTAAATGGCGAGAAAGACTTAAAGAACATAAATCTAGGTAATAAAAGATAATTTTGACATATCAAGGTCATTCAAGAAAGAAACCAGCCCAACCTGTATATAACTCCTCACAAGAATAATATCTACAAAACAATTTATTAATCCAAACTATCAGCACACACATATGATCTAGCATGCTAATAACTAATATGGAAACATTTTTGTTAATAACCAGGCTTTCAAAATTTAAGATTTTTATCTACAATCTTAATTTTCTGTTATTGCAGCAAACCTCCTTTATGCAGTTTATACACAAATCATCTTAAACACATCAATCACATCACTTTTAGTTTTTATACTTCAAATCTTTAAGTCTCAATATCTTTATAGTTCACATAACATAATGACAACAAAGGAACATTTAGTCCTTCAGGGCTGTCCTTATAATTCTATCCTTGAGAAAAGTAGAAAATTAAAATTACTATTTATTTTCAAGAAGTGACTGATTCTCTCTTAAACTCGTGTGAAGTGCATACCTTCATGACTGTCATAGGCATATCACTCTAAAATCCAGTCACCCTGTTAAAAAAAAATAAAACTGAAGTATAGTCTGCCTTTTCCAAATCTTAAACTTGTATCCTCTTGTCTTCATAATACAAAAAAAAGAATTGGATGCCTTTATGATATTGATCCTCCCCATAAAATCTCATAAACTTCAATTAAATCATATCCCACCTTTTTTTTCCTAATAAAAAACATATTAAGAGGTCTTGACTTATCTCTATAATATAATATTTCCATTCCTCGAATAATCCCAGTAACATTTCTTGGAATTAACCCTATATTTCCAATAAATCATTATCCTTTCTTAGATAAGGAAACATAAACTCGATCGAGTATTAAGTGATTCAAAAAAGTGATTTGTATAGATAGATAAATTAACCTTTTGATTGTAATCAATATATTTATAAATGCACCCTAAACTTCTAATAGCTTTACCACTAGCAACAGAGCACTGTTTTGATGGCTGAGTGCATAACCACATCTGTAGTAATATCATTTGCTACAATCATGCTGTTGAGTTAATTCTTTTCTGTATTAAATGTGGGATCATAATTATGATAACCAAAACCATTAGTTTGCACTTATAATTAATGGTCATTTGCCTAATACTTATCCAAATTACCAATTGATCTAAGTAATTCTGTAGTACCTGAAGATGAACATCCTTGGGACAGCTTCAAATACACAAGAGTTTAATGTCATCAGCAAATTTTACTGATTATGCCCATTGATATGATTAATTTGAATAAGAAAAAGCAAAGGACCAAGCACTTAACACCTGAAGCACTCCACCAGTAACAAAGGTCCAGTTTGACTAAACTCAATAGCCTTTTGCTTGTTCTCATCCCACCATCCTTTAATCCATTTAACTAGTCCTTTTTAACATCTACCAGTGTCACGTTTTTAGCTAATATTCTGTGTTGTACCCTAACAAAAACATTTTGAAAATATCAGTATTCACTAGTAAATTTTCCAAAGCTTTCTTTTATCATATTCTTTAGAATTGTTTGTAATACAGAAGTATGACTAACTGGCCTATAATTGTGAGGGGTAAATCTTATCACCCCTTTAACAATAAGGTTAAAATTAGCAACTTCACTGTTCTCAGGCTCCTACCCACTGTGTAATGAATTACTAAAAATGAAGGTGAGATGCTAACATACCTGATTTTTGACCTCCTTAAAACTGTAGGAAAAATCCTCTATGTTCCTTGTCCATTATCTATTTTTTATTCTTTCTGCTAACCACCAAGAGATTAATATCTACATTAATCAGGTCAATTCCAAGTTTTCTATAGAATGCTCAGGGTTAAGAATATTGCTAATACTTGAAAGCTTTAGCCATCTCACAGTCTTGAACATAATCCTTGTAATTAACATCTTTTAAGGGCCCAATACCCATTTTAATTTTTTTCTTACCTTTAAAGTTAAAAATTTTGTTAGTTTTAACATTATATTTTCAGCCAGTTCTCTCATAAGCCCTTTTGAATTTCCTCTTTTTTTTTAGTCAAATCCTTAGCTTTCCTGTGGTTCTATAAATGTTCTATTTAATTAAATTTATAATATAGATAAATGTCAAACTTAATTATGCAATTCTAGTAATATAAATAAAATAATGAAATATTGAGCAAATACAGATACATCCTGGAGAGATAAGTCATTAAATTATTTACATTAATCAAAATGTCTAATAGTAAACTCCAGTTTGTGTTAAAAACAAAAATTGAGAATATTAATTATGCAGTGATAATTTTTCTTCAAATATTTGTTTTGCCACTTCTATTCTTTAAAACTGCATATCCTCATTAGTGGTTAACAATAATTGTAGTATTGTATTCTCTCTAGTTGACTCTCAGATATAAAAAAAACCTTCTGAATCACTTCATAAAACCTTTCTCTCAATACTTTTGACTACAATCCCAAACAATGTGTCTAAACTGAAAGATTTACATAATTTTTGTTTAAGTATATTTACCAAGACCAACCCTGATCTCATTATACAATTTCTCATTTGGCATTACTTATCTGATAGATGGCCTATAATGATTGTAGACTGTAGTATTTTTACCTTTGAAACCCATGATTATAACCCATATAGCTTGAATGAATTGACAACCATTTTTTATTTCTTCATTTTAAACATGATGCAGTTCATTCTTTGTATAAAGAGCCACCCCTCTTTGAAAAGTTTATCACTGTTAAAAATACTTCTAACCTAGAATTTCAAAGTAACTACTATTAGTATTCTACACATCTAAAGTTTCAGTAACTCCTGTTATATTATAGTTTTCAATTTCAACTAAATCTGTGAATTGCCCATTTTGTTTCCGGTATTCCTCATATTAAAATAATAGAACCAAGCTGCTTTCTAAATCTTACAGGCTTGTTCTTAAAACTTTTAATGAACTTATGTTTTATTTTGTTTTCCTTACAGAAGTGTAGACTTGTCTGAATAGGAACATTAAAAAAATGGGTGATGCAAATACAGTTGAAAATCATGAAAAAGGTAAAAAGGAATTAGCATCTAAGGTAAAACAAGAACCAATGGATGTTGATCCACCTGATATAACTTCTAACCATGAAACATCTGGAAACTTGAAACAATCCAATCATTGTGATGAAAAAGATTTTGCATTATCAGAAAATCTAACTGATCAGAAAGAAAAATCCTCATCAGTTCAGTTTGCTTTACGACAAATGAAAAAAGATGATAGTGGTATTAGTATTAGCAAATCACAAGATGAAGATGAGGTTGACATTGATAAAGCAGAATCATCTAAAGATAAGGAGAGATCTAGTAAGAATTTAAATATTGAAAAGAGGAATTCACATGAACTTGAAGATAAACAACCAGAAGACATGAATGGCCAAAGTAGCCCTGATTCTGGCAATCAAGATGCTTCCTTTTCACTAGCTGAATTTCCGGATGGTATATGTGAGTTCTCTGAAAAATCTTCAGACTTAAGTAGTAATTTAGAAACAGCAGATAAAAAGGACAAACAAACAACTAAAGAGGAAGCAGCAAAAACAAAGGGAGAAAATGCTAGCGTTTTTAAAGGAAAAGAAGAACAAACCAAAGTTCAAAGTGTTTGTGATGATGAAAATTCTGATGATGATCAGTTATCAATCAAAAGTGAAGATGTATCAAAAATGAGTGACTCCGATGATGAAAAAAACTATGATCCCACACCAAATGTACCTAAGCCTAAATATAAGTGGTTTTTGTGTAACGAGATAACAAATCGACAATATGGGACTCCAAATGGATACTCAAGTGATCTCTTTAGATTTCATTGTAGTGGCAGTTTGCACATGATTGAACGTTTAGAGCTGATGTATAAAATGAAGAATCATGATGGATGTGTTAATACCTTGCATTTTAATAGTACTGGAACTCGACTGGTTAGTGGATCTGATGACTTGAACATTGTTATTTGGGATTGGACAGTTTCAAAACCTGTACTGGAGTATCAAAGTGGCCACAGAAGCAATGTTTTTCAGGTCAGCTATACTTTTACCTACATGTAAAATTGTGTAATTACAAAAGAACTTGACAGGTGTATATCTTATAAACATGAGTAGAATTATTTGAGTTTCTTCCAAGAATATTATAGTTTCCACTTTTAATTTCTAGTAGGATGTTTTTCTGTTATGTAAAACTTAAATACAAGTACATATATGTTTGCCATTGAGTTGATATCTTCATAATAATGTAACTGGTTAACTTGCAAATTGATATAGTATATGATTTGGGGCCATTTATCAGTTCTGATCTTTAATTTCTTAACTGCCATATTTATAGACAAACAACTTGTCAAGTGTCATGTTTAGTTTTAGGTATACAGTAAGAGAAAAATGACATTTGTAATATATCATCACATATACATACATGTACATATAATTATGGACAACAAGGGACCCCCATTTGGTCCATTGAGGCCACCATTTCCACTAAATTAAACTTCAAAATGAAAATAAAATAAAATTTAATATTTATCAAACTTTCCCTTAAACTCCTTTAAATTAATTGCATCTCACATCTGAAGTGACCTATTCCAAAGGTGAACCACCTTGTTAGAAAAATAAAGCTGTCTTAGCTGAAGATGACTCCTACCCTGTCAAAAGAAAATGTCTCCTAGCCATATTCTCACCATTATGTATGAAAAAAGATGATGTATTAACACTATCAATTCCCTTAGCAGTTTTAAATACCTCAATCAATTACTCTGTAACTCTTCATTTTTCAAGAGAAAACAATTTCAGAGATCTTAACCTGTCTTTGCATGACAGTCTTTCCATCCCAGATATCATTGTAGTAGCCTTCTGAATTCTTTCCAACATTTCAGTGTTCTTCCTAAAGTAAAGATCCCAAGGCTGAATGCAATATTCCAAATGTGGCCTAACTAATGACCTATGCAATAAAATTATAACATTTTTATACCTGTATTCAACATTTCTGTAAATACAACCTTAAATCTTTTTTGCTGTATCACAAGTAACAACAAACAACTTAGATAGCTTAAGACACTGCTCAACTAAAATTCCAAGATCCTTTTCTTCCATAACACTATTAAGATTATTCCCATCAAAATTATGGTAATAATCCAAATTATGATATCCCACATGCATTATCTTTTATTTATTGTAATTAAAAGCCATCAGCTATCTATTTGCCCAACTTAACAAATCATTTTGTAAATCAGCATTCTTGTAGCCAGAAATACCCAAAATCTTAATATCATTAGCAAATTTAAATAATTTATTGAATATTTCATAAAATGAAAAGAGCAAAGGTCATTACACTGATCCCTGTGTTATGCTGCTTGTGTCATTAATCCAATTTGAATGAACTTCATTTATATCAACCTTCTGCTTTCTTCCATCTAGCCACTTTTTGATCCAATGACCCAACCTATCCTCTTCACCTACAGAGAACATTTCTAACAAGCCTTTTATGTGGCACCTTATCAAATGCTTTCTAAAAATCCAGATACATCAAATCCATACCCATACCTTAATGTACATGTAACCTTTTCAAAGAATGTCAAAAGATTAATAAGACATGGTTTTCCCTCAGTGAAACTAGGCATGTTGCCCCTGGCCTTGAAGATCTCCCATGGTATTACTTAGCAGGTGAATTGTTACAAATTCATGACAATTCAGCATTTCCATTTGCTGCCCTCTATTTTCAATGTACAGGATGTGGGAATTCAGAACAAATATCTTGATGATGTGAAAGGCCATTGAATTGTCTAACATAGAGCTGAGTAATATGACAACATCTGGTCAGATCTGTCTATCCTGGACATACCATTGTTGTAATCACAGACTATATTGAATTTCTTTGAAATTTTATTATTCCGATTCACATCAACTATCTCCACTTTATGTATGTTACTTATTGTGAGCACTTCCCATTTGTCCTTCCAATTACAAACCACCCCCTGAGTATGACTGCTTCCATTCATGCTCCTCCTTCTTCAACTTTTGTGGATTTTCCTTGTGGTCAAACCAGAGTGTTCCACGTATACAAGTTGATTGCTCAGTTTTTTCACCAGATTCATGGAATTTTAATATCTGTGTACATGACATGACATTTGTCTATTTAATCAGCTCACATATAAAGTACAACAGCCACAACCTATCCCAAGCAGACATCATAATCAAGGCCAATTCCAAAGTATATGCAAATTTTCAGCACCAGACCTCGAGATTCGCATAGTTCATAGAGTTTGATTTCATATTTGTGGTATTTATTTTTGATATACTGACGAAACAGAGTATCATGGACTCGTTGATGCACAAATACTTTCTTGGATTGTAAATATGGATTGTTTCATTATTGAAATGACCCAGAAGAGGTCATACCTTATACAAACGATCATCGTGAGTTTGGAAATTTTCTGTGAAATGCCAAAAATCTAAGAGCACTTGAAAGCAGTTGTGACTCATAACACCATTAAAAAATGATGTCTTGTATAGAATATCAATACTCCAGCAGTGCTCCAAGGTAGGTAGGTTGTTTGGACCCATATGAATCAACAAGGCAAGAAACTTTTTAATTTCTGTTGCATTTGTGTCCTTCCAGTGTTTCAGATGTGATTCTCTTTGCAATGGTCATTGTTGTTGATTTTTTGGCTGTCACATATTGATTTTTTTTTCCATGGCCATGATATCTAGTAATTGTGGAGTCAGAAATAAATCAAAATAATCACCAGATGAAGCATCTTGTAATTGAATTCTAAGACCAAAGTTTTTATTAAAAGTGAAATTGGCTGGATCTTGCACAACATTCCACCAGTTATGCAATGGGACACCATAGTTCACACCTCCAACTGCTTCTTTATCATGAACTAGTGTAGTAGAACCACATCCATCACCTCTTGTCTTACCTCCATGACCACGTGGTCCTCTGGTGTGGATCCCGCAAACTATAGATCTTCCATGTGCTGCTGGTACTGCATTGTTGTCATTTGAAAAATGAAAATGATAAAACCATCATTAGACAGGTTGTTACTGCTATCATCAGTCTGCATTTCAATCTGACCATCACTGTCATCTGAGGACATTGCTCATAGATGGGTAAAATTTGAATATAAAATATCTGCACATGCATACTTGGCTTGGCTAATGGGTCGGCAGTCAACGTGAATTCCTGTTTTCACTTCCCACAGTTCTCCTTTCTCTTCATATATCACTTTTATTCTACTTAGGATGGCATCATATATTTCCTCAAACCTGCAAACTCTTCATAACAGATCTTTTTCACTACTAGCTTCCTTAAAAGTGTATGTCACTCCTGAGTCCCAAATAAAACCTACTTCTGGCATCTCTTACACATTACAAACTTGAAACTGGTACAGTGGTTTGAAATTTTTGAAAGAAACTACTTGCCTAAAGGACTAATGATAGACAAATCTACTTAATTTTTTCCTTTTTGGGGAATGGCATATATCACATTTTGAATCTAACATATATTCATACATGTGTTTAATGGTTTTTAACATTTAGTCATTAACATTATACAGCACATCATGTAGAATACCTCACAAATAAACTGTTACAGAAATAGTCTTTTATGTATAAAGCTTTCAATATTTTTGTCATTTCTAAGAACTTTGGTTGTGAAAGTAAATAAAAATGCATAATTATGTCAACCACACTATCTGCTATATCCAGTACCAACAAGCTTGTTATAATTCTTCCTATAGTTAGCAAGCAGACTTTACTACTCTAGGAAAGATCAATGTAATAATATTTTGTATTAATTTAAATATGTTTGTTACTCTGGGTGAGACTAAGGCAGGCCTCAAAAAATATATAAATATGTTTGTTACTCTGGGTGTGACTAAGGCAGGCCTCAACAAATATATAAATGTTTGTTACTCTGGGTGTGACTAAGGCAGGCCTCAACAAATATATAAATATGTTTGTTACTCTGGGTGTGACTAAGGCAGGCCTCAACAAATATATAAATATGTTTGTTACTCTGGGTGTGACTAAAGCAGGCCTCAACAAATATATAAATATGTTTATTACTCTGGGTGTGACT